TGTAACTAAACTCTTCAGCCAATAAGGGCAAAGGTGTGTCGTCACGGAGGCAGTTCCAGTTTGTGCAGCCGGATGAGAGGTCGCAATGCATCTAACCGTAATGCCTATTAACCGTAATGCCCTATTTCCCCCAAGATGTGCCCCCCTCCCCCCCTGCAACGAACTTTACCAGGATAAAGGCTGATTTATACTTATGCGTAGAATCTACACCATAGCCTAGCACGCACCTCCCCAGAAATGTAACTACAGGCATCAGGCTATGGTGGAGGGTACTCAGCTACGTGGCTACCAACGGAGAAAAATCTACTTCAACCACTGTGGCCTTAGATAACAAGCAACTTGATTTTTCCCAATCCGGTCCACAGGGCCCCACAGCCGGTCCATGTTTTTGTCACCTCTGAGCTCCCTGTAGGATGGTCCATGTTTTTGCTCCCTCTCAGTTCCAGGTAGATAGGGAGCTGGGAGGGAACAAAAATGTGGACTGTCTGTGGGTCCCCAAGGACCGGATTGGGAAACACTGCAATACAGGGTTGTGGTGAGCCTGCAGCCTATCCCAGACACACACAATCACACCTTTCACTTAGCCTCATATATTTGGACTGTGGCAGGGAACTGGAGCACCAGTAGGAACCAACATAAATAAGCATATAATAATTATAATAAGCATCTCGACTGCTATGTGATTGAGATACATAAAGAATTAAGAATTGTCTAAGTAATTTGAATAGAAGTGGGTGGTGGCAAATCAGAGCTATGGACAAACCACATATCAACAATATGCCTCACTTTCAGTATTTAATTGCATCCATTTTCTGTCGCTTTCTGATTATAGCTCATTATAGCTCTGTTTTGTTGCTTCCAGTATTCTTGTTATTTCTCAATGACTTTCCGAGGAGCAAAGTATTTCAGAGCTGAACTTTTTGCACATGTCAGGAGAGAATAAAAATGATCATCTTCACAAAGAGATGATAATATGAATAAAAATCATATTAGGTGGCAGCTTCTGGGGATAATGGCAGTTTGTCATATAAATTGAATGAAATATGCCATATGCAGTCAATTCTTATGAGTCATTTGGAATGACACCCGAGATCACCAAAGTAATTTATGAGTTGCAAAATGACAAGTGAGACTTGCTCCACGTTTACTTAAACATATGTAATATTTTAAAATACAATTTCGTTGTTCAGTCTTTCTGAAGATCAAATGGGTTGTAACGAATAGGCACCCCTTTTCTGTTTACTGAATCTCCACCGGTTATGTAGGACCCCGCATAGTGCGTCCGTATGAAAAATGATCAGAATTTTAAAATGCCGTTGTGGCAGACAAATTATTGAATAGGGAGCCCCTAAGTTGCACGGCACGTTAGCTTGCACATTGCTGCGTTTCACGGCAGCATTCAGCAAGTAAAATCGCTCTCCCTGCATCCACCACCTAAAATACGTAGCGCAAGGAGGGAGGCAGGGCTGGAGCGAAGCTCTAAAGCACCTTAGAAACAAAGACCTTGGTGGTGCTCTAGTGCTAAAGAAACATCCAGTTTTAGGACTATTTCAAGAGAAGCGATATAATGTTTATTATTCCGGCTGTACTAATATATAGTTGCAATGGCAGGTTTTAGAACTTAGTGAAAGTCTTTTTGTCCCGATTTTCTGCTTTCTGCTCACTCTCGTTGAAATCATTTTGCGATCAGTATGAGTGCAGAGTGTACGAGTTATTACAGCACGGAAAAACTGTTCGTCAGTGGCTTCACCTGTCCCAAAAAGGAGGGCGACGCCAATGCCATTTTCTGCTGCGGATTCAACGACATAAAGTACTGCTGTGACGATCCTAATAGTTTTTTTCCCTATGAATATGGTTACATGTGGTGGCTCAGGTAAGGCTTACGTGCATGCCAGTCGCTGATCTGTTAGAGAAGCTGAGTAAAGTACTTTTTCCGTGGACATAAAATGGTTTTGATTTCGCTAAAGATAAGTGAATGGTTTTCTACGGCGGTAAAGTTAACCTCGTGTTCGATATTCAGTTTTTCAGAATATTTCTATCAGATGTAAGATGCAGTTCTTAAAGACAGAATTTTGATATCCAGTACACAGACAACGATGTACACCAATTTTTTTTAAATTTTTTTTTTGCGGTACGAGCTATTTCACAGTTTGTGCAAAATCTTGTTAATAGATAAGGAAATTGGTATTTTCAGCTGTAACGATATATTACTTTAGCATCTTGAGTTCATGGCAACTGTTCCACGCCCCTTGGTTTTCCAGATTTCTTTGCAGGTGAATTTTAATTAATTTTTGAATACTCACATGTATCCATATAATGTGCAACCGGACAATACATAAATAGGTTAATAACTTTAAAACTAACCAAGATATCACATTTAGTGAAGTATGCTTTGATCAGAGGACTCTGGGAGACAACACTCCTTGGATTTTTGGTGTATCTATGTTTGTAATAGTTGTAAATGATTATATTGTATTCATATAATATACAATACGGAAGTACACAAATGGATTAATAGCTCTAAAACCAAATGAGACAGATATGTTCTGCATTTATCAGTGGACTCTCGAGGACAATGCACACCCCTTGGGTTTTCAGCTTATTTTTGCCTGTAACAGTTATTTATTATTATATTGTATACATATAATATGCAATGAGGCAATACACAAAAAGGGTTAATAGCTCTAAACCCAGATGAGACAGACATGTCCTGCATAGTGTGCTTTGATCAGTGGACTTTGGGGGACATGCACACCCCTTGGGTTTTCAGGTTATCTATGTCTACAGTATAATATTTATTAATTATTATAATGGTTCCATAAAATTTACAGTGGACTACATACATAAATGAATTAATAAGTCTAACACCAAATGAGACAGCCATGTCTTGCAATGTATGCTTTGATAAGTGGATGGCGGGGGACCATGCATACTCCCTGGGTATTTGGCTTATATATGTTTATATGTATTTATTAATTCTTATACTGCATCCATATGATATGCAAAGTGGCAATATATAAATAGGTTAATAGCTTAAAACTAAACAAGATTATCAATGAATGAACTCTTTGGGAAAATATTAATATTGCTGTATAGGAGTTCCTGAAAATCCGAGGGGTATGCCTGTCCCCCCACTGTCCACTGATTAAAGCACACTTTACTAGATGTGTCTGTCGTATTTAGTTTGAGTCATTATCCATTTACTGTCCTCCAATGCACAATAAATGGACAGAGAGTAATTAGTAATAAATAATTATTTATGTAAATTCATAATCTGAAAACTGAAGAAGTGTGCATTGTCCCCCACAGTCCACTGTGCAAAGCACATTTTACTAGATGTGTCTGGCTTATTTAGTTTTAAAGCTAACCCATTCAAGTATTGCTCCAGTGCATATTATTCAGATACAATATAATAATTAATAACCATTACATACAAAAAGGTCTGCATTGACCCCCAGAGCCCACTGATCAAAGCAGGACATGGTTGTCTCATTTGATTTTAGGTTGGACTGTCTGGCAGGCAGCGGGGCGGAGGGGTGGCAGTGCTAATCCGAACACTGTCCATCAAAAAGTATTACTAGCATGAGTGCTGTATCACTGTGATACCTTATGATGTTACGTGTCTTATGTTTGCTTTAAGTCTCCTGCTTTATTAGGTTTTTCATTTAACTTAACACATCTGTAAGTCACCCAAGGGGTTACAGTCCAAAGCAATTTGGCAGGCAGTTCAAAAAGACCCTTTGGGTGGCTTGTTTTAGTGTATGTGTGTGAAAAATACACGGGCCTTGCTCCTGACCTGGGGCACTAGCAGACATTTTTCAGTGCGGTGTCCAAGGTGTGGACAGTGCTTTTCAGGCGGTGACACAAACACCAAGATTTAATTGCATTTAAAATGGAGTGGTGGCTCTGAGGCTAGGGATCTATACCAGCGAGTGGAAGGTTGCTGGTTCAAATCCTGTGAATGCCCAGAGTGATTCTACTCCATTGGGCCCTTGAGCATGGCCCCTAACCTGCAATTGCTTCATCCTAGGTATGACGTTAATCTACATCCAGCCCTATAAGAAGGTCTTCCAACTTACAGGGAATAACTTCGGGGTTGGTGGCAGGATTGGCACTCTAGCCACTGGGGGGGAAAAAATCATACTAGTCCATTTGGACTAATGTGGTGCTGAGGTAGGTTCTCATCCCTGAGGTAGTTTGTTGTGTGGTGGGTGTGGCAACACACTGTAATCAGTGCATGCTCCTTACCTTACCTCTGTATTTAAAATACAACAAGAATAATTAGGATGAACCACAGCTTTCTACAGTGCTTTCAATGGCTTCGGAAATAAAAACTCTACAGTGGCATTTGGGGGTGGTGCACTTGCTCCTAACTCTTGCATAATTTCTGTCACCCCCTGTGAGCGTTGCCTTGGTGAACTGCATTTGTGAGCCTAAAACGTAAGTTAATGCATACGTGAAATGTACCACTTTGAATTGTGTATCTTTAAGATGCTGTATTCATTGCACACTGATGTTTATTTCATGACTGTCCCTCTCTGATGTGACAACCCCCCAGGGAAAGAGGCCTGTCATTTCTTGGCTTGGGAAGAACACAGATAGGAATATATGGCAATGGAAGGCCTAGAAAATTGCATTTCTTTTGTGAACCTCACCTGTAACCACATATAAACTGACAGCAAAAATGATAATAAAATTGCAGGTGTTCTTCTATAAGCAAAAATAAAAAAGGCCCCTTCTGGTCCATCTCCTGCTTTGAGAAGATCTGATCTCAGCCAGAAGGAGTCAAACTTCCAAATCAGCTTATAATTTCCCTTTAAGGTTCTTTATTTAGCTGAAAGAAAATCTCTGGTTCTGTTCGTTATGATAAAATTGATAAAAAATGATTATGAAAGACACAGACTCTAGGAGAGTTTTGAGGGTCTTTTGGATGTTGGTAAATGTGAGAGAAACTCTGGAGCAGTGTTTCTCAACCCAGCCCTCGGGGACCCACAGACGGTCCATGTTTTTGCTCCCTCCCAGCTCCCTGCCATCTTTTTGCTCCCTCCCAGCTCCCTGCCATTTTTTTGCTCCCTCCCAGCTCCCTGCTGTGTTTTTGCTCCCTCCCAGCTCCCTGCCATATTTTTGCTCCAGCGACTGTCTGAGGGTCCCTGAGGACCGGATTGGGAAGCACTGCTCTAGAGGGAAACTGTAAACTCAGATCTGGTCATGGCTTTATCATCAGCACTTGTCTTCTCTCTATCTCTCCTCGACAGTGTGGGGGCACTGATAGGCCTGTCCATCGCCACCATCGTTCTCCTGGCCTTCATCGTCACAGTCTGCGTTTTTTGCTACCTCTTCATTGCTGCCAAACCCAGTCGGCTAGACAATGGACTCCAACTGCAGGCTCCGGGTACGAATCCTCTTGCTTCTGTTTCAGAGATAGAGATCAGATCCCAGTGGCTCAGATTTAGAGTAAAACCAAGTCTGTGCAAAGAGACCATCCACCGAGATGGTGCTGCGAGGCCCAGATGCCGTCCTACCTGCTCTCACCGGACTGGGCTTTTACCTAAAGCACAGCTTAGGGACCAGGTGGCAATAGCATGTTATCACACACATGTTCCATGTATGTTTGTGTATGTGACAAACAAAATGTAAAACTTGAAAAACTGGCATGCAGTGTTAGTCATATTCATAGCAATATTATCTTAGCAAAATTATAACTTTATAGGACTCTAATTTTATAAATAACTGTTTTATTAATGAATCACATTATCTGTCTATTCCTCTTATCGGATTGCTCCTAGGGTTCATCACAGGCAGTGTGGATGCTAGTCAATTGCAGGGCACACACCTACTGAGTCACCCTGAAGGAAAATTAATTCTTGGTAATACAGTTATCATTTTCGAACTATTTTTTCTCGCCTGTTACCATATTACTTTATCCAGCCTTTACCACTCTTTTTATGTGGAGTTTGGCTTTAAACTTGATTAGTATGTAAAGAAGCATTTCTAATATTTCTTAGATTTGAGGGCCGACTATATTCAGCAGCTGTTTTGTTTGAGAGAACAGATAATTTCTGAGACCTTGTATCTGAGCTCCTGTGGTCAGCTTGACAGCCACAGTGATTGTCTTGTCATGATTGTGTTTTCTATATAATTTATGATGCTACTGTGTGATTCATGGTAGGATTGGTATTGCTTACATGAAGCTAAGCCATGTAACTTTCCTTGGCGTTACACCCACGGTTTTATTTATACAGCAATTTCTGAATAATCAAGGATGCATTACGAAAGTCAGAACAGGAGAAAAATAGACAATCTCACACAACATACGGCTCATGCACACTGTAACTAAATTATACTCAGCTGTGCTAAACAATAAATGCACAAGGCAACAGACATCAACCATAAAAAATGTAGGACACAACACAGCAATATACTGCAAAATAAACAGTGGGAAAGGAAGCAGCCAGAGAGATCTTAGTAGAGATGTCCTGCCACCTATGGAGGATAGCCTAAACCTGGAGACAACGAACCAGTGAGATCTAATTAAGCTAACTCAAACATAAAAAAAGGGGGGAGGGAGGGCTGGACCACTGAAGGTGCTGAGAAGCAGTTTGTATGGAGTGCAGAATGAAACTGGCAGTCAGTACAGATTATAAAGGATGGCAGTGATACCAACAGAGCATTTAATGTCTGTGAGGACCTGAGCTGCAGAGTATTAAACACACTGTAGTCTGGACAGAAGAAATTGAGCTTGGACAAGGGAGGTAATATATATGTTTGAAAGGTGAGTGATCAAAAAAACAAGGCTGCGAATTGTGAAGGTTTAACAAAAACTCCATGATTGTCAGTCCTTAAGTCAGATAGACTGGTAACATAAGTCTTGGAGCCAATAAGAAGAGTTTCTATTTTATCAGCGTTAAGTGGTAAAAATTGGAGCTGCTTTATGCCTTGGATACAGATTGTTAATGGGGGGAGGGACAGGAATGTAATGGGCTAGTGCTGACACAAACCTGTGTGTCTACAGCTTAACACACCTTAAAAATTAGGACCATGATGGTGAATGATTTGTGAGCGAGCATGTAAATTATAAAATAGAGAGTCTCTAAAATTGAGCCCTGAGGGACACCTTGTGAGAGAGAGATGGTGGCAACATTGTGTTTCTGAAGTGACACAAGGCATGGCCTGTTGGTGGGGTAAGAGGCAAACCAGGGGAGAGCCATGCTGGTAATACCAGCTAAAAGGAGGATATCTGGATGTAACACAGAGGTTACATGATAATGATACATCTGCTATTTGCTATTTACACAGTTATGAGTACAGGTACATTGGAATTCTTCACTTTACCTACCCCATCTTTCTCCCATTAGCTTCTGGGGGCAAGGGGGGGGGGGTCACAGCACAGGGTCAGCCGGCATGTAGCACCATAGGAGCAGTGGATTAAAAGCCTTGCTCACGGGCTCTCAGACATGCAACTCTTGACTAGCCTACTGAGCCAGTCAACACCCCCAGTCTCAAAAAGGAGTTGGATGCTGAGGGCCCCGGAATCAGCAACAAGCAGAAGATCATTAACCACCCAGCTGAGAAAAGCAGCCTCAGTACTCTGTGGAGTGTGAGAACCTAATTATAAAAAGCTCATAAGGATTCCAGCAAGCGAAATAAGGGGCAGCAACCTTTCCTGAGAGTTCAGTTATGAAAGGAAGCTTCAAAGTCAGTCTCTCGGGCTTACATGATGGCGTGTAATTCAATGAAAACATTTTATCATTGTGCTTGTGAAAGGTTTTGGCCAAGAACCTGGTTCAAGCTCGAATTGAACAATGTTTGAAAGGACTCACATTTTACTAGGGTGCATCAAGGATTGATAGAAAATGAAAGCCTTGAATGGAGAAGCAGGGTGTGATTTTACCTTCCTCGAACCATAGGGCAGCGATCTAACAGAGACGATGACAGAATGATACAATAGAGTTGAAAGTCAAGATGGAATACAAGTTTCCCATTGCAAAAAACTGAAAGTGAGAAAATCTCTTGGTTTAGGATACGGATGCACTAACTGCCACAAAGGCACTTTAAATAAATAATTCCCATAAATCACTTTCAGTCTGCAGTATCTAGACAAAACGGCACTAAGTCATTTACAGACAGTAATGGTTCTTTCATTATTTTAAGCCTATTAGGAAAATTTGTTGTTCCTTATCTTCTGCCATATTTATATTTTACATATTTGGCAGATACTTTTATCCAAAGTGAGGCAAATAGCACATTATAAGCATACTTATTTTGCATTTATTTTATTCACTACCCCTTACCCTTCATTTGTATTTTGAGTAGGAGTTTATGTCTGTGTAGGCATTACCTGAGCTTTGCCACAAGCTTTGCCATCTTCAGATACGTCTGTCATATTGTGCATATAATAAATAAAAGTCTTCGCCTTATAATTTTATCTATGTTACGTAAGTTAATATCACAATGATATTAACTTTTTTAAAAGTGAGCAGAGCTGTAAGGAGCACAAGCAAGGTGACATTAAGCTCTTACACTCGCAAAAGTCACCAAGTACACAAAGCAGCACTTTTCATAGGAGGAAATTATTAACTGTCCATAGCATGGAGGCTAAGTGGCTAGCGCTGTAGCCTTCTCCCTCCAGATACCTTTCTTGGAACATTCTGGTTTGTTCTGAGGGGGGCATTTCTTTTCCATCCATACATCCATCCTTCTAACCTGTTATCACTGGTCAGTTTTTTGATGGTAGAAATGAAATGAAAAGATGTTACAGCAATCATCAGACAATGAAAGTTCTGGTGACAAAATATGTCAAGAACAATTGGTCAATGGGCATTGTCCTGGAACTCACAGACAGTTTAATTTGATAAATCATGTCCCTCAGTTTAATATGTGTAGGTTTTGTAATATATTTTTCAGTGCAAGCCGTGACTTGATGTGTAACATGGAGCTGAGCCAAAAGCGAGAATTAGGATAAGAAATAACAGCATGCACATGAGTTACAAGAGCAAGACATGGACAGAACATACAATCCCGGTCACATGACCTGAGATGGCCACGCCTCTCTGGCCCCTCATGGCCGTCATGTAACTTCAGAGTAATCAACTAAGCAGCATAGGGACATTGTCAGTGCTCTGAGGTGCAGGACAATCCAGTAACACTGTATAATGATCTTGAGTTTAAGAGCTCAGCAGTAATTGTCTTCCCATCAGCAGATCATTCTGTCTTCAGTGGAGCAACGATGTGACCTCAGTCAGTCACCCCTCCATCAGATAAATGTGAAAAGCAAATGGTACAATTATGTCTCTATAGTATTAAAGACAAATAATTCATATTGAGTCAACATTATAAGGCTGTTGAATGGAATATCTTAATGCCAGATAAACTAGGACATAATTTCAACCGTCTTATACCATGGATTAATAGAGCAGTGAGAGAAATATAAAATATCTAAAAGTTTTTTTTCTGTGATATCACATGAAGTTGTTCAGAAAAGAAAAACATTTGTGATTCAACTGGTTCTGTTCTTACCACCCTGTATGTAGCAGATAAAAATATACTAACCACAGTAGCGTTCACAACACATTATGTTATCCTTCCAGGAAGACAATGATGGTCATTTTCAGTTATTTGTCTATAGCTGTCAGAGGGTCCCAAGATCAGTATCATGACAGATTGTTTCTTGTCTTCTGTTTTATTCATTTGAATGAGACAGATTTGAATAGTGTACATAATTGAAATATCAGCTGTGTGTGGTGACTGGCTGGGAAGCACTATCGCCTCACTCTCCAGGTTTGGGTTTTCAAAATCTGAATCAGAAGACTATTAATCCCGGAGGAAATTGCTGACATTACGACTGCACAATCACACATAGACACCAAGACAAGAACAATACAGTATAAGTATAAAATAGGAATGAAGTATAAGCTAACAAATTTGAGCACTCTGTTAAACATTCTAATAAAATAAAATAAAAAATTGCTGTACAGAAATCTAAAAGTACCTTTGTCCTAAAGTTACAGGAAAAGTAGAAGGGTATAGAAGTATATTGCACAGTAAAGTAAAAGTATATTGCACCATTATCATAAGTAATTATATTGCACTTGTTGGTTATACCAAGTTAGACTCTAAACTGTGGGGAAAAGTAGAGGTATATCGCACCGAATCATGGATAATAATATTGCACATCTTAATTGTATTGCCCAGATATCACAGAATCACAGATCATAACAATACTGCACAGAGTCATAGGTAAATATATTGCCTATGTTAAAACTAATAACCAAGTAGGGGTAGCATCAGTTATTACACAATTATTGTAATAGCAGTAGGCTATTGTACACATTATTGTGAAGATGAGTGACGGATGGAGGAGTTATAGAGTCCGATTGCAGTGGGGAGGAAGGATTTTCTGTGGTGTTCAGTGGAGCACTTTACGCTGGTGAGTCTGTGACTGAAGGTGCTTTTCTATGGCGTTAAATTAGTGCCAAAACTCGCGCGCATAAAAACCACGCGCGCGTATGCGCTCGCGAGCAGAAAACCCATCCTCTCTACGCGCTCGCGTTTGCACAGCACTCGCTTGCTCGCTCGATCGGCGTTACATTAGTGCCAAAAGTCAAACCACGCGCGCGTGTGCGCTCGCGAGCTGAAAACCAATCCGCTCTACGCGTTCGCTGGACCCTATCTACGCGCTCGCGTCTGCACAGCACTCACTCGCTTGACAGGATGAATTTTGACACTTTGGAGGCGGGAACAGTGGCTAATATCTCCGCTCCTTTGATTGGTTTTTTAAAATTTTGACTACGATTGGCCATTTGCTTTGGTAGAAGATGAAGATAACTTGTCACTGACCGCGATTAAGTTAGCCTCATATTCGATATTCAGTTTTATGGCTTTAATAACTTTTAACGGAAGGTTGGGCGTTTTTAATGACAGAATCGTGATGTCCAGTACATAGGCAACGATTGGTTTAGCATTTTGGGCTCATGGCGACTGTTGCACACCCCTATGTTTCCCATATTACTTTACATACGAATTTTAGTTCATTTCTTAATGTTCGAATGTATCCGTATAATGTGCAATGGGACAATACATGAATGGGTTAGTAACTTTAAAACTAGACAAGACAGGCACATCTAGTGGAGTGTGCTTTGATCAGTGGACTACAGGAAACAATGCACACCCCTTGAATTTTCAGAATAACTTTCTCTCTAACAGTTATTAACACATTGTATGCATGTTACATGCCATTGCTCCATTTCATCCATATTGACAGTTAATTGATAACACAAATTAATACATAAATAATTTGTAAAAGTGTAATTTAGGCAGTGCACCGTGGGACAAAGCAAATGCACCGCAGTTGAATTGTTTGATTACGTGTTTCGTCACATTTAAAGTGATCTTGAAAATCCAAGGGGTGTGCATTATCACTCAGAGTCCACTGATGAAAGCATACTCCATAGGACATGGCTGTCCCATTTTGTTTTAGAGCTATTAACCCCTTAGTTGTTGCTTCATTGCACTTTAAGTGGATGCAATATAATAATTAATAACTATTACAGACAAAAATAAGATGAAAATCCATATGAGGCTAACTTAACCGCGGTCAGTGACAATTTATCTTCATCTTCTACCAAAGCAAATTGCCAATCGTAGTAAAAAAAATTAAAAACCAATCAAATGAGCGGAAATATTAGCCACTGTTCCCGCCTCCAAAGTGTCAAAATTCATCTTGTCGAGCGAGCGAGTGCTGTGCAGACGCGAGCGCGTAGATAGGGTCCAGCGAACGCGAGCGCGTAGAGAGCATGGGTTTTCTGCTCGCGAGCGCATACGCGCGCGTGGTTTTTATGTCCTGCACTGCACAGTGGGTGATCAGTATTGTCCATGATTCAAACCTCACCCTTGTGTGGAATTTGCATGTTCTCATCATAATTTCCTTCCCACTGTCCAAAAACGTGCAGTTAGACTTACCTAGGTTGCCCACACTGTGTGAGTATGTTCGATTTAGAGGACTGTCCAGGTTGACCCCTGTACTCGTACGTTGCTCAATGGAAGCTATGCACTTGTACCTAAGCTGGCTCATTGACACACTTGACGATCTGTACCATGACCAAGCATGTTTGATCTCCAAAGACCAGTTATTGAGACTAGTATGGCTAGGCATGGATAGTTGGACTACAGCCAGTATACAACCAATGTGACTGTTAACCATGCCCAAACACAGAACACAGACATGATGTCCATGATGCAACTGACACACGAATGTGATTGTGTTATACATAAATCAGACACAGAAGGATCTGATCTGTTAGACTGTACAGATCGGGTAGTGACAAATATTTAACAAACATTGCAGCAAAGGGATCACTGTGGTCTATGGCAGAGGTGCAGTTTTTGCTGAAAATTTGGGCTGATGAGAGTATCCAGGAACTAGATGCAACACACAAAAACCCTGAAATATTTGGTAAAATACAAGACTACATTCTTATTTGTGCAGCACGATTAAATTTAAATTGCTGCATTGCATACTGCATTGGGGCTTGTAAATGTTGACCGAGAAGAGGAGGGGTGTCAGGGACTAATCAGGTTAACTGAGGATAAGACAGAACTGCATGCGCAGGAATCACAAGAACAAGACTGGAGTGTGAAAAATCTGTTAGAGAGATGTGTGTCATCATGTCCAAAATGACTCCAAATAAGCCACAAAATAAGGACATTAATCATGAACTCTTTGTGCTGTGTGATAAAGCTTTTTCATCCTATGTTTTCTTTAACACAAAAAGTTGCACGGTGATGATGAAGGTGTGCTTGGGAAAGGATTATAAAGTGCAATGTGAACGCAGACCAGTGAGGGAGTGAGGAGAGGGCACAAATGTGCTGGGGCACAGTAAAAGGCAGCCGAGCCTAGTGTGAGTACACACTTCATGCTTGATGTGTCATCTGCTTACTTGTACATTGCTTTGGACCCATGTTTCTGCTAAATAAATGCCCTGGACTCCAGGCTAACCAGAACCCTGTCCTGATGAGACCGCCAAGGACTTAAAATCATGCTTCCTCGTACATACGTTACAGTTTTAGAAACCCAAACTCATTTGGCATTCTTTAAATTTCCAAAACTCACTTGAGTCCACAGAAATGGTACTTATTTATGATCTTATCTCCACGTAACCCGTGGCCTGATTGAGTTTTGGAGATTTCCTCTTCAATTAGTGTGAAAGGTAGAAGCATAGATCTAAGCATCCCTGTCGAAGTGGACTGGCCTGGAGATGGGGATATTGGCCAGCCATACATGACATGGATATTCAGATTATATTTTTTCCTTTCATAGCTTGTCTGCTATTCCCACTTTGGTGTTGGGTGATTTACTTGTTTATTGATTTATTTAGGTTTGATATTTAATTTCAAACTGCCCAGCAGTAGTATGTGAATGTCTCAGGAAAGGGCCGAGCTTTTGGGACAGCCTTCCCCCCCACACTTCTCGTTTTATTTAGTGAGTACAGCTGATTCGCCGTGTGAGAGGTGCGTGTAAGAGGAGGAACTGGGAGCAATCGGCCAACTCTCACGACTATAAGATCTGTCACACTCTGTGTGCTGTGGCTCTGTTCACCTCCCAGAAGGAGCAGCTATTTATGTTGCCTTTACTTGGTCCAGGTTCCAGCGCTTCAGAAGAGCCTGGCCTTTGCAGCGCCCCCGGTGGACCACAGGGATTCCGCAAGCACTTCCTGAGCCGAAAGCTGGACTGCGACAATCAGGTCCCCGCGTCGGATCGCATCTTTCAGCGTTGCTTCTTGGCCACAGTCCCTGCCGTCAGTGTGGAGGGGCCCTAGCCTTGCCTGGCATTAAGAAAAACACACCCCCTCTCCCCAGTGGTAATCCTTTACTCCTTCGCAAGTATGAGGCACCTTTAGGGAGGTGGGGCAGCACATCTGTCCCAGGACCCCTCAACCGCACTAGGACCGCTGAGGAATATTGTGACCTGTCAGCTGTACACAATGCTAATGCTACATATGGATTCATTTTCCATGCTCAGTCCCTACGCATTTTCTTGTAAGTTTTTTTTGCACTGCAAGCAGCATCCTAGGTAAGATTTACTTGTTTTGTCGTTGATCCACAAAGCTTTTTTTCAGTCCCCTACACTTTCTGCCGGGACTAAGTTTTAAGTGCATTTGACGGGACCTGCAGATGGACAGGCTGACATTTTTAATGTCGGAAGCCGCAGTGAAACGCCATGCCATCTTTCAGTTCCCATTGCGTGCGGATGCTGTCAAAGAATGTCTACCCACGCTGTGTCACAGACCAAAGCCATGCCAGGCACCTGGGGCTTACAGCCCTCGACTAGCTCAGATGCAGCTGTCCTTCTACGCTGTGCAGGAGAACACTGCGCAAGAACTTATATTATTCCTCTCTGAAGTACCATCATTCGAGAAATAAGGTCATTTAATAAAAGCAATTAAAGTTTTGATAGGCTCTAACAGTTAGCATTATTCCGTTATTTTCATGCGTGGTTTAATTTGACTTCCGAGAAGATGTGTTGTGGATTTCAGTAATTGGCTTTTTTGTTGTCTGTGAGGAGTTGCATCAGCCCGGGGCTGCATGACTTGCAGTCGGAGAATGTAGCTCCAGATAAAGCAAATATTTGAAACTCTATTTAACAAAAATTACTAATAAAAAGATAAAGAAAATATAAAATGAAACATTCTGAAATCCATTCCAGATGAAATGTAAATAGTATATTTGTTAGTGTTTGCTTGTTATCTTACCACTGTGTAATGAGCTGAAATCAAACTGCATCGTTTGCAATAATACTCTAAAATAAAGAACTTCTGTATTTGTCTGACAGTGATATTTGATTGGTACAGCAGGAGACTCAGGCAGTAGGTGGAAAACAGGTGAGTAATTTCATCTACGAATGAACAATAAGCAGATCACAAACCAAAACAGCAACAAACCAAAAAAAAAAGCAACAGCAAAGACAAGGTTACTAGAAACTTTTGTTACTAATACTAGTAACAAAAACCAAAAGGCACAAAGTGCACCGGTGAGGGTCAAAACACAGTAAGAGTCAAATTCAGCAACCGCTCCGAAATGTTGTGCGACAGGGGCAAGATATCACAGGGAAATGAGGGACCAATCGGTGTGTATACACTGGGGTAAATAACAAGAACAGGTGAGAGAAGTGACTCATTTACATGGATCACAAAGAAAAAAAGGAATAGGTGAAAACGTGAACAGCTACCATGAGTATAAGTATTTGACTGATGAGGACCTCTGGTGGCAAAGAGGGGAATCACTTAGTGTGAATGCAACATTGAATGATTTTATCCCTTGAAAGAAGAGAAGGGAGAGCTTGCAGCCTTGTGGTACTCCAGTGCTCATGTCCGGGGGATGGACAGTAAACTGTTTACCTTGACAGACTGATACCACCAGGATAAAAAATCCAGAAGCCAGCAGCAGAGAGCAGCATCTATATCCATCTGCATTAGTTTGGTGAGGAGTGTGAGGGGACTAACAATACTGAACTGCTCATGTGTAGACGTACAGGGCATCTCCAGGTGTTGCACAATGTAGCGGAGTGCCTGACTGATGGTGTCTTCCATAGACCCGTTGGGATGGTAGGGAAATTGCAGTGGGTCTAGTAGTGTGGAAGTAGAGGACTTGAGGTGAGATAAAACAATACATTAAAATGCCCAGGCATTAGTGAGGAACTTATGGTGTTGAAATGTGCATGAAAGGCATTACATTTGTTTGGGAGGTCTGGGTCATCTTTGTGAAGTGAAGCTGCAGTTTTTTTGTATTCTGGAGTTTTTTTCCTTGCATTGCTGTTCCAATTCATGGACATAGTTTGATTTTGCCTCCTTTCTGGCCATGCATATTTTATATTCTACTGCTTCGTATTCATCCTTATCCCCAATGATAAAAGGAGTGTTTTTCATGCTTTATAAGTGTTGCTCCTGAAAGCCAGGGTTTGTTGTGTTGTAGAGAGTTACCATTTTTGTGGAAATTCACATTTTTTCGCAGAAGTTTCTAAATGATGATGCAATCCATGTCCTGCCTTCCTGCCCCTCTCGTTCTCCCCCTACTAGCAAGGCCTTAACAACCCATGCCTGTTGCTTGTTTTGTCTTACCTCTTGTTTCAGTGCTTGTGTGGATAATTCCTGCTGCTTCTTGTTAGTTCCCTTGTCAGTCCTTCATAAAAGAGTGCTTCCCAAGCCTGTGATCCCTAGTCCTGTCATTGATCCTGTGTGTGTGCCGTGTGTGTATGACCCCTAGTGCTTAATTTGTTTCATTATGTTTAATAAAGTTTAAAGTTAAGAGTAACAATAAAAACTAGTAACAATTTCTTATGTTCTCCAAAAAGTTACTGATATCTAGATGGATGGCAGTTCCCAAACCTCTCCTCAGGGTCACCTTATCATTCCATGTATTTATAAAATTTTCACCACCAGCTCACTTAATTGAAAAAGTCAATGAGATATTGGTTAGCTATACGAGGTGTGGTAGTGGTCGAGTTAAAAAGTTCATGGGTGTATTGTATAGTTACTGGAAATAATGGGGTAATTTGAATAATGGGGTTTGAAATGACTAAGCTGACACACTTTGACAGGCATAATGGCATAGTTTTACACCAACATAAAGATTTTTTCTTTGGCTGCATAAAACTTTTGCACAATACTGTATGTTGTCAGATGTTGATTTAAGAATGTCCTAGTTGGTGCATTTAAGTCATTCATTCAGTGTCTCAATACGAACAGCCCACCGTGACTATACAGCTACTGGTTTTGGTTTGTTGATTTTAAGCTTTATACAAGGGAATTGAAAAAAACAGACCAGTAGAACAGTCTGACTTACAATGGAGTACATAAAGGTTTCATCTGCTTTATTGATTTATTGATAGAACATTTTGTGGGTTTTGCGTCATTGTCTTATTGCATGACTCACGTTCTCTTCAGCTCACCGATGGCTACCTAGACACTTTCCTGTAGAGTTTGCTGGTACTAATCAGAATTCATAGTTACATCAATTACGTCAAGCCATCCTGGTCCAGGGGTAGCAAAGCAAGCCCAAATACAGCCTATACTTTTTTCAAACACAAATATATAAGACTGGATCATTTTTCTCAATAAATAAAGGAAGAAGTATTATGTTTTGTGATATTTGTTTAATTGGGCTCTCTTTAGTTTTAGGACTTACAAGAAAATCTGATCATTTATGCAGAAATAGTGAGAACTGGAAATGGTTCACAAACTTTCTAGCCTCTAACCTCATGTTTTTGAACTGCAAGAAGGATAGAAATAGCCAGAAAATTCCTGCACAAAAGTCTAAACATGCAAATGCAACAAATAAATCAGTAAATGGTACTTTCTGACTCTATCTAATTTGTAAACACTGAAGCACCATTTCAAATGAGCATTCAGATCAGCATCAACTGATCTAAATGACTTCCTTGGTTTAACTGAACATGTGCATTTGAACAAATAGGCCTAAAATAGGCCAGTTATTTTTAGCCTAAGTTTTGACAAGAAATCATAAAATAAACATCTCTGTGCAGAAACTCTCTGCATAGTTTGTTTTAAAGATGATTATTAATGTTTTCTGTGTGAGATTTGTTGTGCTGAGCCAACAATCAATAATTGATTAAACATTTCATTGTCAGAAAGGTAAACAACTCATGCTGTTAAACGCATGAATGTAAAACATTGCAAAGAAGTCTGCTTTTCTTGTCATCCTGTGTTGGGTATTTTTGACTACAATGAAATAATGAATGAATGAACATATCAATGAAGGAAAAGTTTGATCAGATTCCTCTTAGACTCCCTGAAAAACAACTGCTTCAGCCCGGGTCGTAACCGGAGGCACAGAGTATTTTTTCCAAGTAACAAACCAAACATTTAATCAAGAATTTTAGTTGAAAAGTGTTTCAGTGTTATGTGAGAGGTTTTGACCCATAAAGTATGAATCCATCACCTCAGTTTTATGCTGTAGTCCCCACAGAAAAACCAGAAATATCTCCATTTCTTACTTGTATAGTAGGTTCTTTAAATTTTATTTTTTTCGGTGTTTCTCATGCATTTTATCACTGTGGTTTGTGATTGTGCTCTCACGGTCAAAAAACTAACTTCCCCATGTATATATTAAAAATGACCTCTGGAACCCTTGGGTTTTTGAAATCTTGTAAGCAAGTTTCCATTGTAACTCCTCCAGCTAAAGGCAGAATAGGCAGTTGGGCCGTGAATTACCTGCATCGCTTAGTTTTTCGGTGGGGGGGGGGGGGGGGGCTTCTACATACTGTAAAGCTTTGTCTGGGACCCATGTAAAGATAGACCTAGCCCTAATCTCTTGATTTAGCTTTCAGATGAATACAAGTGGCTAAATTGGGTGCTTATTTCTAGATACCATGCTTGGCTTTCCTAATGAATGCAAGTTGATTCTGTACTTTGTCCAGCAGTGACTCAACTATTAAGACTATTAATCAAGGCTTGTTGTCTGATTCAAATCTTTTGCTTGATTCTTTCTTCATTCCACCAGATAAATAACCATTTGCAAAAACTGATTTGGGGATATGTTCCAAGTTCCAAGCATTGCACTTTCAACAGTAACTTCTTTAATATGTAGCAAAGTGAGATTTTTCAAAAAGCACATTATCTGGTCAGCTACAGAAAGAGCACAAATTCAGCAATAGGTAGTAAAATACAAGCAGTTCCCAAGTTATGAACGAGATCCATCCCCGAAGACTATCCTTAAATTGAATTTGTACGTATGTCGGAAAAATAAATGCAGTAAATAATAATAATGATTAAATAATAATAGACTATTAATTATATCATCTATCATCTGGAAAACAAGAACTGTTATGCCAGGCTGCTGTTTGTGGACTACAGCTCTGCATTTAACACCGTCATTCCATCCCAGTTCATCACTAAACTCCTGGATCTGGGACTTAGCTCTTCACTGTGCAACTGGGTACTGGATTTCCTCACCGACAGACCTCAGCAAGTGCATATTGGTGGAAAAACCTCCTCCATCATCACCATCAACACTGGCACCCCACAGGGCAGTGTGCTGAGCCCCCTGTTTTACTCTCTATACACCCATGACTGCGTAGCTAAGTACAGCTCTAACACCATCCTCAAGTTTACTGACGATACCGCCGTAATAGGTCTGATCAGCGAGGACGATGAGATGGCCTACAGGGAGGAGGTCAGACTCCTGGCAGAATGGTGTCAGCACAACAGCCTCACCCCTCAACATTAACAAAACTAAGGAGATGATTGTGGATTTCCGCAAACAGGCAACAGAGCACAGCCCCATTTACATCGGGGGTGAGGCTGTGGAGCAGGTCAGCAGCTTTAGGTTCCTTGGAGTCACCCTCACTGATGACCTGAAATGGTCAAGAAACACTGTGGCAATAGTCAAGAGAGCACAACAACGCCTCTACTTCCTCAGGAGACTGAGGAAAGCCCGGATGTCCCCCACAACCCTGTGCAGATTCTACAGGTGTACTGTGGAATCCATCCTGACAGGATGCATCACATCCTGATACAGCAACTGCTCAGTTCAGGACAACAGAGCCCTGCAGCGTGTGGTGACCTCAGCACAGAAGATCACGGGCACACAGCTCCCTGCGATCCGTGACATCCACACTACACGCTGTCTCAGGGAAGTGAATTGTATCAGGTGGGACCCCAACCATCTGGGAAGCGACTAAAGTCCATTCGGATGCGCACCTCCAGGTTCAGGAACAGTTTCTACCCAACTGCAATCAGACTCATGAATAATCAGTAACCTTGTGTCACCTCCACTGCTACACACACACACATACTTCTGCCACAGTCT